ATGGATTCACCAATGTTTGAGCTACCTGCTTTAACCTGATATCTGCTTCAACCTGATTGCTTTCTATGATGAGATAACTGGCTCTGTGGATATAAGGAAAGCGGTGGACGTGATATACCTCAGCAAAGCTTTTGATACAATCTCCCACAGTATTCTTGCCAGCAAGTTAAAGAAGTATGGATTGGATGAATGAACAATAATGTGGATAGAAAGCTGGCTAGATCCTCAGGCTCAACGGATACTGATCAACGGCTCGATGTCTAGTTGGCAGCCGGAATCAAGCGGAGTGCCCCAGAGGTCGGTCCTGGGGCCAGTTTTGTTCAACATCTTCATTAATGATCTGGATGATGGGATGGATTGCACCCGCAGCAAATTTGTGGATGACACTTAGCTGAGAGGAAAGGTAGATACGCTGAAGGGTAGGGATAGGGTCCAGAGGGACCTAGACAAATTGGAGGATTGGGCCAAAAGAAATCTGATGAGGTTCAACAGAGTCCTGCACTTAGGATGGAAGAGTCCCATGCACTGCTACAGGCTGGGGACCGACTGGCTAAGCGACACTTCTGCAGAAAAGGACCTGGGGATTACAGTTGAAGAGAAGCTGGATATGAGTCAAGTGTGTGCCCTTGTTGCCAAGAAGGCTAATGGTATATTGGTCTGCATTAATAGGAGCATTGCCAGCAGATTGAGGGAAGTGATTATTCCCCTCTATTCAGCACTGGTGAGGCCACAACTGGAGTATTGCATCCAGTTTTGGGCCCCCCACTAAAGAAGGGATGTGGACAAATTGGAGAGAGTCCAGTAGAAGGCAACAAAATTATTAGGGGACTGAGGCACATGACTTACGAGGAGAGGCTGAGGGAACTGGGCTTATTTAGTCTGCAGAAGAGAAGAGTGAGGGGGGATTTGATAGCAGCCTTCAACTACCTGAAGGCGGGTTCCAAAGAGGATGGAGCCACAATGTTCTCCATGGTGGCAGATGACAGAACAAGGAGCAATGGTCTCAAGTTGCAGTGGGGGAGGTCTAGGTTGGATATTAGGAAGGTGGTGAAGCACTGGAATGGGTTACCTCAGGAGGTGTTGGAATCTCCATCCTGAGAGGTTTCTAAGGCCCGGCTTGATAAAACCCTGTCTGGGATGATTTAGTTGGGGTTGGTCCTGCTTTGAGCAGGGGGTTGGACTAGATGACCTCCTGAGGTCTCTTCCAACCCTGATCTTCTATGATTCTATTAAATGCTATCATGGCTAAACAGCAGCGTAAACGAGACGGTTGGAAACAGAAAGGCATCCTTTAAAAATTGGAAGTCTGATCTTACTGATGGTGATAGAAAGGAGCATAAACTCTGGCAAGTCAACTGTAAAGCTATAATAAGTCAGGCCGAGTAAGAATTTGAAGAGCAGCTAGCCAAGAACGGAAAAACTAACAGAAAAAAATATGAAGAACATGAGAAAGCTGAAAGTCTGTCAAACAATTATAAGTGCCACTGCACGATCAAGATGCTAAAGGAGCACTCGAAGACAAGGCCGTTGCAGAGAAGCTACATTAATTCTTTGATTCAATCTTCACTGCAGAGGACATGGGGGAGATCCCCACACCCAAGCCATTCTTTTAGGTTAGAAGTCTGAGGAACTGTCCCAGATTGAGGTGTCAGTAAAGGAGGTTTGGAGAGAAACTGACCAGTTAAACAGTGATGAGTCACCAGGGCCAGATGGTATTCACTAAAGAGTTCTGAAGAAACTCAAATATGAAATGGACGAACTATTCACTGTGGTAGGTAACTTATCACTTAAATCAGCCTCTGTACCAGATGACTGGAGGGTAGTTAATGTAATACCTGTTTTTAAAAAAGGCTCCAAAAGTGATCCTGCCAATTACAGGCCGGTAAACCTAACTTCAGTATGAGGCAAATTAGTTGAAACTATAGTAAAGAACAAAATTATCAGACACATACATAAACATGATATTTTGAGAAAGAGTTAACATAGCTTTTGTAAATTACTAATCATTACTAAGCTATTAGAATTCTTTGAGGGAGTCAACAAGCATGTGGACAAGGGTGATCCAATGGATATAGTGAACTTGGACCTTCAGAAACCCTTTGGCAAGGTCCCTCACCAAAAGCTCTTAAGAAAAGTAAGCAGTCCTGGGATAGGAGGAAAGGTCATCTGTTAGGATAAGTCATGAGACGGAAAGGTCATGAGATGACCAGTAACCAGTTAAAAGACAGGAGACAGGGTAAGAATAAATGGTCGGTTTTCACAATGGAGAGAGGTAAATAGCAGGGTCCCCTAAGGATCTCTGCTGTGACCTATGCTGTTCAACATATTCATAAATAATCTGAAAAAGGGGATAAACACGCAGCAAAATTTGCAGATGATACAAAATTACTAAAATAGTTAAATACAAAACTGACTGAAGCGTTGCAAAGGGATCTCACAAAAGTGGGCAATAAGGCAACAAAATGGCATATGAAATTCACTCTTGATAAATGCAAAGGAACACACATTGGAAAAAATAATCCCAATTATACATGCAAAATGATAGGGCCAAAATTAGCAGTTACCACTCCAGAAAGAGATCGCGGAGTCATTGTGGATAGTTCTCTGAAAATATCTGCTCAATGTGCAGCAGCAGTCAAAAAAGCTAACAAAATGCTAGGAGCCATTTGGGAGAGGGATAGTTAATAAAACAGAAAATATCTTAATGCCCCTATAAAAATCCACGGTACGCCCACACCTTGAATACACACTTGAATACCATCTCAAGAAAGATATATTAGAATTGGAAAAGGTACAGAGAAGGGCAGTTAAAATGATTAGGGGTATGGAACAGCCTCCTTACAAGGGGAGAGTAAAAAGACTGGGACTGTTCATCTTGGAAAAGAGACAACTAAAGGGTGTATATGATAGAGGTCTATAAAATCATGAAGGGTGTGGAAAAAGTGAATAGGGAAGTATTTAGTTACCCCTTCACATAACACAAGAACTAGGGATCACCCAATGAGACTAAAAGATTTAAAACAAACATAAGGCAGTACTTCTTCACACAATGCACAGTCAGTCAACCTGTGGAGCTTGCTGCCATGGGATGTTGTGATGGCCAAATGTATCACTGGGTTCAAAAAAGAATTAGATAAGTTCATGGAAGATAGGTCCATCAATGACTATTAGCCAAGATAGTCAGGGATGCAGCCCCATGCTCCAGGTGTCCCTAAATCTCCAACTGCCAGAAGCATCTAGCACTGGCCATTGTTTGAAGACAGGATACTGGGCTAGATGAACCATTGGTCTGACCCAGTCTGGCTGTTCTTATGGTCTTTATTTGACAAATGTTTAGCTAAAAGCTGCAGGACTTGAAAATAATAAATTTAGAAAACTATTAATTCTTCATGAGGACGGCCATCTTCTATTGTTTTTCTAAAATAAACTGGATTTAAATGGCAAGTATATTTAACTGAAAAAAAGCTTTTAAATATTCACAGTAGTTACTTCTTGTTAACTAGTTAGTACAGTCCAGCCACTTGACTGACATGCGCTATAATTGTCTCTAGATAAAAAAATGTTCAAGTCTGTGGTATCATGATGTTAAGACAAAAGGCTACTAATGCAAGTGTATAGAGGAATATGTCAGATTACAATGGCAAAACAGTCATTGCTATTTAATACCAACAAATTATGATGGTCAAACAATGGCAGTAAAAATCTATAGAGACTTTATGCCTAATTTTTTCATTATCCTAGGCCTACTATGGTCGTTTACATTATTGCAAAGTCGGTGTAAAGCACTACCAACTTGAACTGGTAGCTGTTACACACACTTTGCACAAGAGTAAATGACCACACAAGGTTCAAGGCAGTGGGAAATCAGGCCTTACATGTCAAAATAGTAGCCGAAGACATCTGTACAATTCCATGGAGACTACAGTAGAAATAATGTTAAAGCACTATAGAAGTAAAGCTATCCTTTTAAAACCCGATCTAAAAATAGGCTCCCCTTTTCTTCCGCCTATCATCAGGCCACTGATTAACATCTGTTTGTTATGAAGAAATTATCATTCTTATAACAGGAAAGCAAGCTCACTTGACTATTACATGGCCTATAATGTAGTGCTGTTCAAAAAGACGTTAGTACTTGGTATCTAGTAAGCATAAAATAACTATGTTAACCAAATAAGAAGGTTGGAGATAATCTAACGTTAGATATGAAAATGTCTACTCTCTCCTTTGGTAAAACTTCCTTAATTTATCTTGCTATGATGGAGTATGTAGTACAAGTTGAGTTAGCTCTGTGAAGAATAAGAATATTTTGTGAATCAGTTTCTGCCACGATAGTAGGTACTTTATAAACAACAACAAAAGAATATGCCACATTACCCAGTGTAATGGGATTCTCTGAAAGAGAGCTCAGTGGGCCCATGTAACCTCAGAGTGACAGGGCTGGCTTAAGGATATCATGTCGGTACTAACTTGGGGGCTCTTTCTTGGGGCTACAAGTTTATTAGTTCACAGCAGGGATCTAATGTGATAAATGGCTTCTATGGCAACCTTAGTCTGTAGAGACTATTCTTAACTGGCAGGGAAGAGTACTTTGGTTAGCATTCTCATTCTCCATTAAAGAAAGATGCATTGGGAAGGGAATATGAGCCTTTAACAGTAAGCCCCAACTGCATGTTTCTGTGTCGTCAGCAGCTCATTACCGTGACATTTTACAGCAGCAGAGGATCTGCCCCAGCACGTCTAGGATTTTTTTAAAATAAGATTTGTGTATTGCCAGCACTTTGTTGATAAATGTTGAATTTGAAGTGAGTGTGGTTATGGTAAATGCTTAAAGTTGTTCTCAGCTAGCTGACTTTTTATTGCTAGCAGGAATCTAATTCTCCGGCCTGAGATCTGTAAAATTCTTTTGTTAATAATTTTTATTACATGTAGTAATTCCTTCTGCATAACATAACGCAAATATGTTGGGTACTAGAACTAACTGGATCGATCTCTCTCTTTAGGGGCTGAGTAAAAAAGTAGGGGTATCCTCGTCTATCCTGCAAGGGCTTTGGATCTCCTACAGCACAGAAGGTCTTTCAATGGCATTGGCATCTCTGCGAAACCTCTACACCCCTAACATAAAGGTACTGTACAGAACAGACCGTTGACGAGCTGGTTCAATGCTTTCAGCCTCCAGTGGTCCAAGTACAAAAGATTCTCCAAGGCTCCAGTTCAACAAGGTCCTTAGCACGTGTGTAATGTTAAGCATGTGAGTAATCTCATTGAAGTCCATGGGACTCCTCACAAACTTAGTTACACCGATATGTAAGCAACTTGCTGAACCGGGACTCGGTTTTTAAGTGTGCAGTTAAGGTTTGATACCAATGAGTAGTGACTCCCCAACTCGTCTATGTTCAGCAGGGGTTTTCTGTTAATTCCTATAAAAGAACAGTGTCATATCTGTTCCTACTGACCATCCTTCATTTGCACTGATTTCTCCCAAATATACAGAAAGCTCCCTTGGGTGTTGTAAACCTGACAGTGCCTTGGGGGTTTGTCTGCTCTAGAGTTCTTTTCATCTCAGGGCGTTTTTGCAGCTATGGAAAGCAGTATAATGTGCATAGCTTGTTCCTCCATTAAGCCCAGCCTGGTCATGTCCCTGCGTATGATGTCCCACCATCTAGTCGGTGGTTGGACTTACCTTGGTTGTATTTGCTGGGATAAAACAGTGTAGAGCTGCGTCCCCCCAGGTGGTGGGGGAGGTAGCCCATCTTGGGGAAACCCAAAAGGGTTGCACTTGCCGTGAACCAAGTATATTAGGTGAAGGAAAACTCTTGATTTAAGACCTGGGCAGACAGAGCTCACTTAGCCTCTTCAGGCAAGTCTGTCTATTTAGAAGGAAAACTCTGATTATAAATCTGAGCAGGCCAAGCTAGCGTGGAACCGCTGGTACCTATAGCTAGCAGGCTTTGAGACATGGCATTCCTATGAGCTGGATAGGGTGGATTAGCCTAAGAAGCTATAGCATCCTAAATTCACTTGTAGAAACAGAGTTCTTTAACTTGAGTTAATTGCCAATTAAGTTGAGTTAGCTGACACATTTGTACATGCTAGTGTAGACATTCTGCAAACATTTGTGGAGTGTCCAGCTTAGCATGTACAAATATGTTAGCTAGAATGAAAAAAAAAATCTAGTGCAGAGAACCTTCTGGGCTTGCATACCTCTCCCCACATGAGGGTGGGGCCAGCCTGAGAGATCCTCCTCATATGGAGAGGGGGCCCATCGTCGTCCTCTCTATCCCTTCCCTATCAGGAGGCCTCTCTCTCATCTCAGCTTCACGAGCTGTCTCTTTCGCTCTGCAGCCCAGCGCAAAGAGAGCAGAGCCAGGAAGGCAGCAGGAGGGGAAGCAGCAATTGGGTGACCAGTAAGCATCACAAGGCCCCTCTTGGATGGATGATCAAGCAGTTACAAAACCATCCACCATCTTTCCCCATGTGAGGCTCCCTGTGGCCCTATGTCTGGCAGTATGGCTAAGGCCAGCCTGCTCCAACACCACACAAATTACAGAACAAAGTCCATTCTGAAAGTGCTAGAGATTAGACAGCACTCCCTCTACCTAAAATAAAGCTGTGTTTTGGGCTTGTCTTTTTGTTGCACATTGTGGTGATATGTTTCTCTTCTGCCCTTCAGGTCAGTCGGTTGCTAATTTTGGGAGGTGCAAATGTTAACTACCGGACCGAAGTTCTGAACAATGCCCCAATTTTATGTGTCCAGTCTCACCTTGGTTACACAGAGATGGTGGCTTTGTTGTTGGAGTTTGGGGCCAACGTAGATGCCTCTTCTGAAAGTGGCCTGACTCCTCTTGGATATGCTGCTGCGGCTGGATATCTGAGCATTGTTATGCTACTGTGCAAGAAACGGGCCCAGGTAATGAGACTGTATTTATCTGATGACACTCTGACTTCCCAGGAATTCCACATTGACATGGAGGAGAAAGCAGGTAGTATGTGGAGTATCAGACCTCAGAAAAGAAATTGAGCCACTGTTCGCTTTTTCCTTTGCCATGTAACATTTCTTAACAATACTCTTTCCTCTGGTTTTTGCACCTGAAGATAGGCTAAATGATTTAAACAGACTGTCTGCGCAGTTGGAACATTTTCTATACAGTCTAAATCAAACCCCTACAGTTTCCACATGCTGTCATCTTCAGAAGTCTCAGCATCCTACCCTCTTGCTTACAAAGCAATAGTTACCCTTCATTATTAAATGGTCAATCCTGCAAGGGGCTGGACATCTCGTGTGAGTTTGCTGGACCTCACATAGTCCTGGGCATTAGTTGTGTCATGGTGAGGATTCTCCTCCTTCAGGAGGGACTGGTTATTGCCTTAACGTGGGTAGCCCCAGTGATCTGATCTGGTATGGCAAAGCTTATGTTCTTATAAGCCCCAAGTGCAGCATCAGCAATTAATAAATATCTGACGAGATCCCAACTCTGCCCTCTTGTGTTTCTGTCCAGAGGGAGCATTTCAAAGGTACAAGAAGGCAGTCAGGTTTTCAACTCCATTGGAAGTCAATGGGAGGAAGGCACCTAACTCCTATTTGCACCTATGAAGATTCCTCCCCTGCCAACACACACAGTTACTAGCTGTCTAACATCTATCTTACCTGTCTAGTTAGGCTGAGATTTTCAAGAGTGTAAGAGAGTTAGGTGCCCAGATTCCATTGAATTCAATGGCCTTTGGGGCCTTGCCTTAATCTCTGTCTAACCAGTCTCTTTTTATCTAAGGCACCTATTCCCATGGTATCCAAGCATTGTACTAAAAATAGCACTGTGTGTGCCCTAATTGGCAGGTCTCACATTTTCCATTGTCCCTGGTGTGCATGTGTGAGTGAGATTTTTTTTTATTATTACTGCAGTTTTTTGTTCTTGTGATAGAAAAGATTAGAATCCTGTTTGTAGTTGCTCACAGGTGAATCCACAATGCCGTCCAGGTTTGCTTTTCTATTAGAAAGTGCTGCTTTGAAACGTGTCATTGGCACAAAAGGCATAGCAGGTTTACAGGCTCTGTAATTGAGTGTTTGGGAATTCAGGCCTGATACTGGAATTGTGGAATCCTGCCTTGCTGATGGCTTGCTGAAGTCATTTCTCTACAAGTCCTTGACCCTCCACGGGGTTAAAAAGCAGCATTGTTTTGCAACACCCAATACACCAGGGGTTCTCAAACTGGGGGTCGTGACCCCTGAAGGGTATTATGTGAGGGTCGCGAGCCATCAGCCTCTACCCCCAAACCCCGCTTCTCCTCTAGCATTTATAATAGTGTTTAATATAAAAAATGTGTTGTTTAATTTATAAGGGGGGGGTCACACTCAGAGGCTTGCTGTGTGAAAGGGGTCACCAGTACAAAAGTTTGAGAACCATTGCAATACACCATTTGGAAATATTCTCTGAACACTTCTGTCAAACTTGTCCAGTAAGAATACTCTTTGCTTAGCTTTGTGGTGAGCATTTCAAGGGTTAATTGTGTGTAACGAGTCAAGTTTCAAACATTTTGTTGAACAGAAAAATGTTGCTGGGAACTGAAATGGCAGCCTCCTGGAAACAATTTGTGGTTTCTGTAAATGTTTTGCCTCCGTTCTGAAAGCAAACTAAAGGCTTGTGTGGTTTTAATAGGAATGTCAGGATGACTAAGGGACCCTTTTAGGTCTTGCTGAGTTGTCAGGACAATGTAAAGGAAAAAATAGACCTTAAAAAAAAGATAAGCTGGGTGACTCCCTAACACTGACTGATAAGAAGCGGTATTAATAAACGTCCAATGGAGTCCCATTATATCCTCTGTCAGGGGAAATGGGAGGGAAACCCAGAGCACGGAATGTGATTTAAAAACTCCCCATCCCAAAGGGAAAAAAAGAAGCTAGCTTTTGTGAGTATCCCCCTTCGGTACCAAAAGAATATACACAGTAGCAGCTATTTTTGGTTCAAAGATGTTGGGTTGTATGGTGAATAAATTAAACAACAGTGGTCACGCGCATTTCCTGAGCAAACTGATACGTTGTTCAGCAGTGAAGTGGTTAATGAGTAGAAAGAATCTAGTTGAAATGTTTTGCTGGGATACTAATATTATTTGTATTATGGTAGGACCTAGAAGCCAAAGGTAACATTGTGGACAAACACATAGAAAGCAGTCCTCAAGTTCCTAGTAGGAGATCAGATTATAATACCATCACCTGACATTTCTGTTTTAATTAATGTTTCTCTGCTGCCCCCTTCTAGTGAGGCTGAATAAAACAGGCTGACTAATCATTCTAACACTGGACTCATTATGAGGTATTTTTGCTCATTTTGAAGAATTGTGAAATGGTGGGTTTAGAAGATTCTCTTTCGACTCAGTGGCTCTTTGTATCCTGAGGCAGACAAAGTCAATGGGTAGAATTTCAGTGCAAAAGGAACTACAGTTGGCGTACTTGAGAACACAGCGGAAATGTGCTTTTGCGGGAATAAAGCCAGTATGCTTTTAGTGTGACGAAAACTGAAGCTGTAAAGTGGTGACCTACCCAAAGAAAGCAGCTGTGGCCAAGAGGATGTCTATCCTCAGGGCAGTGATTCTTTGGGAATGAACTTTGGCTGGTTGTGGATGGGATGGTTAACTAGAAGAATGCAGAGAATGTACATCCTGCACATGTGACATTATTACAAAACCAGGGCTGGAGACGCTGAGAAAGCCATGGCTTTTCAAACATGAGTTGGGTTTAATTTTATTTTGTCTTTCTGTTCCCCTGAAAGGTGGATCACTTGGACAAAAATGGTCAGTGTGCCCTGGTTCATGCAGCTCTCAGAGGTCACCTGGAGGTAGTGAAGTTCTTGATTCAATGTGACTGGACGATGGCTGGGCAACAGCAGGGGGTATTTAAGAAGAGCCATGCGATACAACAGGCACTGATTGCAGCAGCCAGCATGGGCTACACTGAGGTAAGACATAACTACACTGTTCTGGATCTCTGTGGGATACAGAAATAATAGGTTAGCTGTGTTCCCTGGTCACAAGGCTGAGCACAGAGGGTCTAGGAGGTGGAGTCAGTAACTTCCTCCCACCCCACAAGTCAGTGGGATCCACTGATTTCTTGGCAACCTTGGTGGCCTGGGCAAAATCTTTGCAGGCTTCCATCCAGAGGGAGAGTAAAAAGCCCCTAATGTATTTGAATATACCTTTAAGTAGGCAAAGGTAAAACCATGTACTGCTTACCCCACTTCCCCAGTGAGGGTAGGGATGATGATATGTAAAATACTGTTTATTTTCCTGTTGGGAAGTAATATTTGGCTGAAAAATTGTTTCTGTTTAAATAAAACCCCTCTCATTAATTTCATTAATCATGAAACTTCAATCCATGAAAACATAAGTAACGTGATCAGATCAGAGGAGTTAATCAAAGGGAGCTGGGTAAATCACACTATCCAAATGAACACAAGTTGAATTGCTTAGGAACAGATGTGCCTTTGAAGCAACAGAACTTCTCTGCAACCTGGTCACGTGATTCCTAACAGCACACAGTATTATTCTAAAGGGAAACGTCCCCAGCATTTTACTGATATATTTGTAATTTTTTTAAAAAGTGGTTTCAGAATTATTTACTGTGTGTGCAGCGCTATAAATGGACATGGCACTTTACAGACAAATAAAAAGGTGTAGTCCGTGCTCTGAAATGCTGACAGTCAAGGGGGGTGGAAAGCCAGGGGAAGTAGTGTTATTAATTAGTAATTATATAATATAATAATCATACCATAATTAAAATGTATATAATTTATCATTATAATAAAGTTAAGGTGGAATGTTACTTCCACTGATTAAGCAGTTTGCTGACATAGCAAGCATTACCATTTTTCTTCTAACGGTTAAGCACATATTAAAGCTGATTGAAAACTGGTTTAGTCTGTGACTTCTGGCTCCCCAGGGCCTGTGTCGTAGAAGCCGTTGCTTTTCAGTAATGGACAGCCCCAGCAGGCGGCTTAGAAATGGCAATTGTAACTGAAAACCTTTCTTTCCAAAGCCCCCTTGCAAGTTGTGTTCATGAGAGATGCTTCCTGCCCTTGTCTGCTGTCAGGTTGCTATGCTGAGTACAACAGGCACAGTTGCCCCACTCTTGCCTTTAGTGTTGCTCTTGGTAGGTGTGTCCCTTCTTGGAGGAGAAAAATGTATCTTTGTCGTTCAATAAACGCTGTTCTCTCCTTAATCTCTTGCTTTCTCATATCATCTTACCAAGCAATAAGGCGATTTTAGCCAATTTCAAAAATTTACACTCAGAGGAGATTAATTAAGTTCTTCGAAACCCAGTCTACACTGGCCAGGGAAACCATGTTGGTACCTTTCTAGCGATCTGCCTAAATGTCATTCATGCTAGGAAGGAGCTAATTGTTTCTAAAGACAGCCCAATCTAGTGGCTGAAGCTCAAGACAGTCAGGAGACTGGAGTTCTGGTCTACACTCAGTTGACTCACTTTTTAACCTTAGGAAATTCACATCACCTGTGTGTGCCTAAATTTCCGCATCAATAAAATGGGGATGTTAGTATTCACCCACCTTTTTAAAGCATCAAAGGGGTAGCGGTGTTAGTCTGAATCTGTAAAAAGCAACAGAGGGTCCTGTGGCACCTTTAAGACTAACAGAAGTATTGGGAGCATAAGCTTTCGTGGGTAAGAACCTCACTTCTTCAGATGCAAGACTTGTATCTGAAGAAGTGAGGTTCTTACCCACGAAAGCTTATGCTCCCAATA